GGGCACCGGGTTCTAGTCCCGGTTGCTCCTCTTCCAGTCCAGTTCTCTACTGTGGCCCGGAAAGGCAGTGGAGGATGGCTCAGGTCCTTGGGCCCTGCACCTGCATGGGAGACCAGGAGGACGCACCTAGCTCCTGGCTTCGGATCAGCGTAGCTCCAGCCATAGCAGCCATTTGGGGGGTGAACCAACAGAAGGAAGACCTTTCTCTCTGTCTCTCTCACTGTTTAACTTTATCTGTCAAAAAAAAAAAAAGTTGATTGATTGTGATAATTTTATGTCCTGCTACCTTACCAAACTCTTATGAGTTCTAGTAGTCTCTTAATGGAGTCTTTTGGTTTCCCTATATAATAGGATCATGTCATCTGCAAACAGGGATAATTTGACTTCCTCCTTTCTAATTTGTAACACTTTGATTTATTTTTCTTACTTAATGGGTCTGGCTAAAACTTCCAGGACTATACTGAATAGCAATGGTGAAAGTGGGTATCTATGTCCAGTTGTGGATCTTAGTAGAAATGCTTCCAACTTTTTCCCATTCATTAAGAAGCTGGGAGTGGGTTTGTCATATATTGCCTTGATAGTGGAGCAGCCTGGTCTCAAACCAGTGCCCATATGGGATGCCGGCACTGCAGGCAGCTGCTTTACCAACTATGCCACAGTGCCGGCCCCTCTTTTCTAATGAGCTGTCTTGTAGTTCTTTCCCACAGACCTAAGAATAAGTCCTATGAGCAAAGCAAAGCCACATAGTTGCTCTAGGAGGTGTTTCCAATGATGAGTGGATATAGGAAAAGCCCCATCAGGATAGACCTCAACAGCCCTGGCTCCAATCAGCCCACCCATGTGCTGCAGATCTTCCTGCCCTGTGAGTTCTCCGAGAGTCACCTGTCCCAGCTGGCCCCTGACCTCCTCGCGAGCATCTCCAACATTTATCCCCACCTCATGATTGTCATGGCCTCTGTGTGAGCCGCTGAATGGTCACCACCTTTGGTACATTCTCAAGGATCTGCAGCAAAGACAGTGAACGGTGCAGCCAGACAGAGGAAGCAGTCGCTGACAGGAACAGGCTCTACTACCTTGATTGCTTTAGGGAATGTTCCTCCTACACCCAATTTGCTTCAGGTTTTCATCATAAAAGGATTTGTATTCTATCAAATGCTTTCTCTGCATCTATTAAGATAACCATATGGTTTTTGTTCTTTAGTTTGTTAATCTGATGTATCACATTTATTGATTTGCATATGTGTTGAAACATCCCAACATACCAGGAATAAATATCCCACTTGGTCTGAGTGAATGATCTTTCTGATGTGTTGTTGGATTCCGTTGGTTAGTATTTTGTTGAGGATTTTTGCATCTATGTTCAAAAGGGATATTTATCTATAGGTGTCTTTCTTTGTTGTATGTTTTTTGGTTTAGGAATTAAGGTAATGCTGGCCTCACCTTGTCCAGAAATCTATCTATTTCTTCTACATTTTCCAATTCATTGATATACACGTGTTTGTAGTAATTCCTGGTGATTCCTTATTTCTGTGGTACCCATTGTAACATCTCTTTTTTCATATCTGATTTTATTAATTTGGGTCTTCTCCCTTATTTTTGGTTAGTTGGGCCAATGGTGCATCAATTTTGTTTATTTTTTTGAAAAAAAAAAAAGTTCTTCATTTCACTGACTTCTGTATCATTTTTATCTTCAATTTTTTTATTTCTTCTTTAATGTTTATAATTTCTCTCCTCTTATTAATTTTGTGTTTGGTTTGTTCTTGCTGTTCTAGGTCCTTGTGATGCATTGTTAGATTGTTTATTCGATGTCTTTCCAATGTCTTGCTGTTGGCACTGATTACCATAAACTTCCCTCTTAGCACTACTTTTTGCTGTACTCCATAAGTTTTGATATGTTATGTTGTCATCATTCATTTCCAGGAATTTTTGATTTCCCATTTGACTTTGTCTATGACAAATTGTTCATTCAAGAGCATGTTGTTCAGTCACTATGCATCTGCATATTTTCTGGAGTTTTCCAGCTTTATCCCATTGTGGTCATAAAAGACATATGGTATAATTTAAATATTTTTATTTGTTGAAATAAGCTTTATGGCCTATATGGTCCATCTTAAAGAAAGTCCCATGCACTCATCAATCCCTGAAGAAAAGATAGTCTCTTCAGAAAATGATGCTGGGAAAACTGGATCCCTGCATTCAGAAGTATGAAACGTCGGCCGGCGCCACGGCTCACTAGGCTAATCCTCCGCCTTGCGGTGCCAGCACACCGGGTTCTAGTCCCGGTCGGGGCGCCGGGTTCTGTCCCGGTTGCCCCTCTTCCAGGCCAGCTCTCTGCTGTGGTCAGGGAGTGCAGTGGAGGATGGCCCAAGTCCTTGGGCCCTGCACCCCAGACCAGGATAAGTACCTGGCTCCTGCCATTGGATCAGCGCAGTGCGCGGCGGCCATTGGAGGGTGAACCAGCAGCAAAAGGAAGACCTTTCTCTCTGTTTCTCTCTCTCACTATCCACTCTGCCTGTCAAAAAAAAAAAAAAAAAGTATGAAACAAGACCCCTATCTTATACCTTATGAGTATTTTAGTACCTTATACTAAAATCAACTGTAAATGAACCAAGAATTTAAACCTACAACCTTATTCCATCAATTTACTAGAGGAAAACTCTGCCAAGACATTGGTATAGGCCAAGATTTCTTGGAAAAGATCCTAGAAGCACAGGCAACAAGAGCCAAAATTGACAAAAGGGGTTATATCAAATTGAGAAGCTTCTACATTGCAAAAGAAACACTCAACAAAGTAAATAGGAACTGAGAGAGTTGTAAACTATGCAACTGATAAAGCATTAAGATCCAGAATATATAAATAATTTAAGAAACTCTACAACAACAAGACAATCCAGTGAAGAAATGGGCAAATGACTTGAACAGACATTTTTCAAAGAATGAAATTCAAATGCCTAACAGACACATGAAAGAAAGCTCAGAATCACTAGCTATCAGAGAAATGCAAATAAAAGCCACAATGAGGTTTCACATCAGTGCAGTTAGAATGACTATCATCCAAAAAAATAATAAAAGCTCATGAGTAAATGGGTAAAAAGGTAGCCTAGAACACTGTTGATGGGAATGGAAGCTTTATACAACTATTATAAACTATTATGTAAGACAATGTGAAGATTCCTCAGAAATCTGAAAATAGATCTATCATATGACCCAGACCTCCACTCCTGGGAATTTACCCAAAGAAATGAAATGAGCATATGAAAGAGTTATCTATACACCACCCCCATGTTTATTGCGGCTCAATTCACAATAGCTAAGATATGGAATCAACCCAGATGTCCATCTACTGATGACTGGATAAAGAAAATGTGATATATATACACTATGGAATACTACTCAGGTATAAAAAGGCACATGGTCAGGAACAAAACTGGAAACCATTACACTTAGTAAAATAAGCCAGGCCCCTAAAGACAAATGTCAAATGTTTTCCCTGATTTCAGGTAATTAACATACAGAGCACAAAAAAGGTAACCTATAGGAGTGAAATTGACATTTTGAGATTTGGTTATTGTTTACAGCTCTTGCCTATACTGAGGAAGAAGAGGTTCTCTATCACTTCTTGGGTTATTTATTTGTTGGATGGTTAAGCTGTGATTATAAACTGAACTGAAAGTATGTCATTGTAAAAATTAAAAGAAAAAATAAGAAAGGAAGGAGGTGGGAGGGTGGGATTATGGACCTGAGGGAAGACAGGGTAGGAAGTATCATTATGCTGTTAAATCTGGATATAAGAAATTTGTTCACCATACATAAATAAAAAATTTTTTAAAAAACTAAAGCTTAATAAAGTTACACATATACAAATATGTTTTAAAAAGGTGATACTGCACTAGCCCTTCCCTTCAACTTCTCTCATCTTTTACATCGCCTGGGCAACCTCACCTATGCACATCATCATCAACACCCTGAATTGCAAATTAATCAAATTTTATCCAGTAGGCTTTCCCAATAATAAAGCAATGTTTTCCATCATCCAGAAAACATGTATACCTGGACATCTATGGTACCTCAATGTCTCCACATCATCCTTCCTGGAAATGCTCCTCTTGAGCCCCTCTAGCTGCGTGATGCAGCCAGCATCCCTTCAATTAACTCCTGCCTATACATCCCTCAGCTCTGGGTCCTAACACCATTTCCTCAGTGAAGCCTTCCCTGACCATGCATGTAGCTCAAATTCCTTATAGTTTCATTTAAAAAAAATTTAAAAAGGAAATCCAAAAATGTGTTCCTTTACTTCAATAATTATTTATATTAGTTGGGCTGATTATTAAACTATTAAAAATCTCCTAATCAGACATAAAATTGAGGTAAAAAGTCATATCTATTTTCACCAAATATTATAGTCCATTCATTTAACAAGGTGATAGTGCCTGTCATGTCACGGCTGCACAATATATAATGAATAGGAACCGGTGCTTTGGTGTAGCAGATAAAGCCACCACCTGAAGTGCCAGCATCCATATGGGTGCTGGTTTGAGACCCAGCTGCTCCACTTCCGAGCCAGTTCTCTGCTATCACTGGGAAAGCAGTGGAAAATTGGCCAGGTCCTTGGGCCCCTGCACCTACCTGGAATAAGCTCTTGGCTCCTGGCTTTGGATCGACACAGCTCCGGCCGTTGCAGGCATCTGGGGAGTAAACCAGCAGATGGAAGACCTCTCTCTCTCTCTCTCTCCCTCTCTCTCTCCTTGCCTCTCTGTAACTCTACCTTTCAAGTAAATAAATAAATAAATCTTTAAAAATGTATATATATATAATGAATAAATGATTCTACCAAGGACTCCAAAAATAATTTGATTATTATGTATCCAATCTAACTGATGTTATTCCTTCCCTATTCAAAATCTCTCATCTTTCCATTGCCCTTCTGTAATGTTTTGCTTTTCATCAATTCAGCAACGGTCTCTTTGTAATATAAAGAGTTATGTTTAAACAAACAGTACCTCCAAGAATCTGAGTTTGTATTGTAGTTCTGCCACATTCAAATCCTGTGATCTTGGGAAAGTCACCCCACTTCTCCATTTCCTCATCTACAAAACATAATGAATAATAAAATTTAACTGTCATGGTTGTGGTGAAGGTTAATTAATAATAATGACAGGTGCTTCAAAGAGTGTCTTGCCCAGCAAGCCACAGGAAACTCTGAGATGCAAATCCCAGAAGAAGCCAATACCTGAATATCCTTTAAAGGCTCCCCATCACCTAAGGATGACCTTGTACATAATGGGCCACATAGAATCTGGCTTCTTCCTATGTTACTAGCCTGCTTTTGTACTTATGAGGCTTATAATCCTACTTTTCAACATTGTGCAAGTACCTGAATCTTGACACCCAAGTTTCAAAAAATGTGGAATTACCTGAATTTTACCAAATAACTCAAACTCTTCATACTTACTTGTTTTGGCTTAAAATATCACTGCTATCTGGAATTATTCCCTACTTTCTCTCCATGCAGTGATGGCATGCAGATTAAGTTTTAAAATTTGCAGAGGCATCTCCGCCATGAAGATTCACTCTATCCTAAACATAATTGGATGGCTTTCTTGTCTACTCAGTGCCACAGTCCTTCCTCCCTTTTAGGATGGAAAGCAATTGTCTTACAGTGATTTGCTGACTTGGACATATCCTAAACTAGCTTAGAATTTCTTGAGGTCTGTAATTATGTATATTCAGATGTCTACATTCTGAACATACCTATCATATAAAAGAAACATTCAAAAATATATTTTCTGAGTGAATAACTGAATGAATAACTATTTCATATTTTACTGCAGAAAATGGGTTTATCATAGACATGTCATTTCTTACACTCATAACACAAATAATAGGTAACCACTTCATGATGGGGAACAGATTACCTACTCTTCATGCTAGGAGTTGGGCTCAACTGGATCACATGAACTTTCTAAAGCTTGATCTTTTTTATTCTGTCTCTGCCTTCTCTTTTGTCTTTTTTTGTACCTATTTATTTTATTTTTTGAAAGATTTTATGAGCCGCTGGGCCAGATCCCAAAGGCAGCCAGATGCATTTAAGTCTTGCTGGTGCCACCTGTCTCCACAATGCCCCCCAAGAAACAGGCTCAGGCCAGGGGCAGCAAAAAGGCAGAGAAGAAAAAGGAGGAAAAGATTATCAAAGACAAAACTTTTGGTCTAAAGAATAAGAAAGGAGCAAAGCAACAGACGTTTATCAAAGCTGTCACTCATCAGGTTAAATTTGGTCAACAAAATCCATGTCAGGGAGCACAAAGTGAATCTGAGAAGAAACTGAATAAAGATGACAAGAAGAAAGAATTACAAGAACTAAATGAGCTCTTCAAGCCCGTAGTGGTGGCTCAAAAAATTAGTAAAAGTGCAGATCCCAAGTCCATGGCATGTGCATTCTTCAAGCAAGGACAATGTACTAAAGAAGATACGTGTACATTTTCTCATGACTTGACTCTGGATAGAACATGTGAAAAGCAAAGTGTTTACATTGATGCAAGAGATGAAGAACTTGAAAAAGATACTATGGATAATTGAGATGAAAAAAGCTGGAAGAAGCAGTGAACAAGAAGCACAGTGAGGCAGAAAAGAAAAAACTCAAATAGTGTGCAAGCATTTCCTTGAAGCCCTTGAAAACAAGTATGGCTGGTTTGGGGTTTGCTGCGGAAGGAGCAATAATTGTATAAATAAAGTGTATCTCCATGCACTTCCTCCTGGATTTGTGTTGAAAAAAGACAAAAAGAAGAGAAAGAAGATGAAACTTCATTAGAAGATCTAATTGAAAGAGAGTGTTTTGCCCTAGGACCAAATGTTACCAAAATCACTCTAGCATCTTTTCTTGCATGGAAAAAAAAGGAAAAGACAAAATTGATAGACTTGAACAAGATATGGAAAGAAAAGCTGACTTCAAGGCAGGCAAAGCACTAGTGATCAGTGATCGTTAGGTATTTAATTTTCGTCCTGAAAAGGTCAGTGATGATGATGAAGAAGCAGATGATACCCGTTACACCCAGGGAACAGGTGGTGATGAGGTTGATGATTCAATGAGCATCAATGACATAGATTTAAGCCTTTACATTCCAAGAGATGTAGATGAGATGGGTATTACTATAGTCAGTCTTGAAAGATTCAGCACATATACTTCAGACACAGGTGAAAACAAATTAGGCGAAGCTTCTGGAGGTAGGGCTGAAACTGGTGAAAGAAGTGATCTGGAAGAAGACAACGAAGGGGAAGGGCAGACAAATGAAGCCATCAATGCCATTCCCATTGATGAAAATCTTTTTACTGGGGAATATTTGGATGTACTAGAAGAAGAATTAAACACCCTTGATTTAGAAGAATGACACCAAGCAAGTCAATGAAAAAATTAAGTCAGCTCAACATGAGTTGAAATTGACTACATTAATTTTTTTCTGCCTAGAACCAACAGGATGTTTGTTACCCCTGCTGATTCTGGAGGGTTTGTTCTCCAGAAAAGGAATATTTTCCTTGCGTCTTCTCTTCTAACTTCAACTACATCTCATAGTAAGTTAAGAATAGTTCATGATAAATTGAAGATATAATGGTCATTGCAGAAAATGATTGCTTGTTGTAACTGCAGAAACTATAACTGCTTTTTCAGCTTTTCATTCTCATCGGGCATGTGTTATTAGCAGGAACAAGAAAAATTTATTTTAAAATACCCTTCATTTGATGCTGTTTTTAATGAGTGATTTCATTTCCTTTGTATCTATATGTTTAAAAGACTGCCTAAATATGAGCACTGTACTCCATAAAGGAAGCTGCATATGCAGATTCAGTAGTGTATCTCTTTGGATAAGTAGATGGACATTTAAAATGGGACTTCTTTAATCTGACAGGATCAGCTATAATGCCCTGTGTTAAACTGTTTAAAAGTTTTCCCTCCTCTTCTTTGCCAACAAAGTTGTAATGAAGACCATCATACATTAAAATCTTTTAAAAAAAGATTTTATGTATTTATTGGAGAGGCAGAGTATGGAGAGAGAGGGAGACAAAGAGAGAAAGAGAGAGGTCTTCCATCCTCTGGTTCATTCCCAGAATGGTGGCAATGGCCAGAGCTGGGCCAATTGGAAGCCAGGAGCCAGGGGCTTTTTCTGGGTCTCCCATGAGGGTGCAAGGGCCTGAATACTTGGGCCATCTCCTCTGCTGCTTTCCTAAGCCATCAGCAGAGAGCTGGATCAGAAGATTAGTAACCAGAACACAAAAGAGCCCAAATGGGATGCTGGCACTGGCCCCTTCTTTTTTCTTTTATTAAGAAAAAATAAGCACTACTTCCTTATCACACTGTGCATTTCTATTTTAAAATGTCATTTACAATGTCACTGCTTCCTAGTTTCTTATTTAAGTTTTCCACAGAGACATCTCCCTGTCTGCTCTGAGCAAGATAGTGGTGCCTTCAGCCTGCTACTCTTCCTCACACACCTTCCCAAACAGGCTCACCACCTTGGTCAAGAGATGAGTTATGGGTAACAGAGATGATCTCTTTAGATCTCCAGGTCAGAGTCTGAGGAAAAAGAAGTTCACCTGAAAGTGCTCATTTTTCATATCAAATGTCCTCATAGAAATGTATCCTCTGGTACAAACATTTGGCCTAGCAGTCAAAGACATCATTTGGCAGGGGTAAATATTTGATGTAACAGTTAAGAGGCAGCTTGAGGTAATTGTATCCCATATCAGAGTACCTGGGTTTGTGTCCCAGTTCATTTCTAGTCCCATGGCCCTGCTAATGTGCACCCTAGGAGGCAGCAGGTATTGACTCAAATTCTTGCGTCACTGCAACTCATGTGCAAAACATGCATTTAGTTCCTGGATCCCACTTAGGCGGTGGCCCAGCCCCAGTTGTTGAAATCATTTGGGGAGCCGGTGCCATGGCTCACTTGGCTAATCCTCCACCTGCAGCGCTGGCATCCCATATGGGTGCCAGGTTCTAGTCCGGTTGCTCCTCTTCCAGTCCAGCTCTCTGCTGTGGCCTGGGAGGGCACTGGAGGATGGCCCAAGTGCTTGGGCCCTGTACCCGCATGGGAGACCAGGAAGAAGCACCTGGCTCCTGGCCATCTGGGGAGTGAACCAACAGAAGGAAGACTTTTCTCTCTATCTCTCTCTCACTGTCTATAATTGGACCTGTCAAAATAAAATTTAAAAAAAAATCATTTGGATAATGAGTTAGTGGATGAGAACACTCTCCATCTCTTTGTCTTTAAAAAAAGTTTTTAAAGAATATTTATCCGGGTCCTGGCATTGTGGAGTAGTATAACTATGTAACTCTGTAACTCTGACTTTCAAATAAGTAAAGAAATCTTAAATAAAATTATTAATCTACAAATTATTTTTTCATATATTATATAAAACTCTCATAAAATGTCCTTCAATTAAAATTATATAATGAGTTTACACAAACATGTTTAAGGAGAAGGAAATGCTAACTAACCTGATTTGATCAACACACATTGAATATGGGTAATGAATTATAATATTCCATAAAATGCACAATTAAAATATTTTTAAAAACCATATAGTGGAGTATGATATTTCTTAAATATTTTGGGTAGTTATAATATTTTTGTTTATATTTATAATGTTTTATAACATTTTATAACAAATTTATAAGGTCTTTAAGTGCCTTCACAATTTCAGTATCCTCTCTAGGATCATCATTATCAAATCAAGTAAATAGCATTAAAGCTGAGGCAAGACAATTTTAGTTTACTACTTTAAAACTTTTAAACCTTTTTTGAGAGGTTAGACTGTACTAAAGGAATATAGTCTCCAACTATGAATTTTGAACACTGACGTATTAACAAAATATTTCATGAAAAAAACACTATTTTTGCAAGAATAACAGCATACAGCTACCCAGAGTTGAGGGATTTCAGACTTATCATAAGAAAATAACAAATGGATGGAAGAGTAGTTGTAAATCATCATGAATTTCCCCTTGGACACCCTTTGAAGGGAGGAATATTTCCTTGTTTTTCAAAACACAGCAATCCTGTTAAAAATTAGTGAGAATCGGCCAGCGCCGCGG